TTTTTCAGAAATAGCAGATAAAAGGCGAGCTTGCTTGTATCCATTGACGTATGTGTAGCACTCTAGGCCTTTCTCGTAAACTATTTCAGCGTCCATCTGCCATCGATTTACAATTAAACCAAGCCTGCTTTCATGGCTTCGAGCCATGAAATGTGTATTGGCCACCAAACTTAATGAAAGGTTCAACTCTGCACATACCGAGATGGTGGCTACTTGGATAAAGTAGTGGCGTTTATTTGCGTGGCTATACTGCCACCCAGTGGAGAGGATGTGCGTTTTAATGTGCGCCTGATATCGTCTTTTGCAGGTTGAAAATGGCCAGGAAAGATTGACCTGGTCTCCTGGAGTGCTGCCCCCCCAACCCTCAATCCATCCTTCAAATGTTCACCGCAGCGGACACATTGCACCTCACCCCTCGCTTACCTTTTTGGGAATAGAATTGTCTAGAAAGGCCAGATATTGGAAATTGTTTGTAAACCCCAATGAATTATATTGAATGGAAACTTTTAAAGCTTGTCTTAATGTTAAAACGAGCTTTTTTTACATCTAGCTCAGTACAACGGTTAAATCTAGTTTTGACATTTAAAAAAAAACTAATTATCCAGAGATGTCTTTTTGTATATTGTATTAAAACATATTAAAGTTTTGTATGTATTGTAAGTTTAACGTTTTTAGTACAGTACTGCATTGCATACCTGCTTTTACATTTTTTTTAGTTGAAGGACTTTCCCAGCGTCGAAAGTTGTCCTTGCATAACCTGTATAACATACAGCGTATACGCATGTATCTTGTGTCTTATCTTGCACCTATTGCTGCAGTGCTAAAATAATAGCGGCGAAGTAGTATATTCTGACCTACATCTAAATTTATACGCGTGAAAGAAATCGCCCCAAAATTGAATGCGCAAGTACAGCATAAGGCTTGTGCTAAAAGACTGATGGCTGGTTTTTTAGAGATGATTATTTTTTAAAAAATAAAGCTTAATTTTAAGTAAGGGCGGGGAGCCAGTTGTTTGCAGTTGGTGGCTTGTTTGCTGGCAGCTAATGGGTGTATTTTGCGTTCTCTCTGACGTTATAAAAAAATGATTATTGTAGCTCATCGGGAATACGTTGGTTTTCAAATGCAGCCTAGTTAATAATTAGTCGGTGCATTGTTTTCCGCTTGGGGGTTTTTGCCTCGTTTAGTTGGCTGTCTCTTCTCACTAAATATTAATGGCCTAATTGTCGAGTTTTTTTTATATTTTTCACTGCATTTGTATCCTTAATATATTTAAATTTTACTGGAACTGTGAAGCTATGCGCCTTTGTATCGTCTATTTGAACCGTTTCAGAAAACATTCTCGATTTCTCAACCCACTAACACCTGCTGTTTCACCCGCCTGTGGTATTGTTTTGTTACCAATATTTGTTATTGTTTTTGTAATAAATAATTAACCATTATTTGGTATTTCCTGGTAACATGTCATCTAAATCCTGGTCCCGGTTTCCCCATGCCTGGGTTTCGAGCTCTTTGCCCGAGTTTTGTATCCTACTGGCGGTATACAATTCCAATATTGAATTTGTAACTGAAAATTCGGTTTAGCCAGTTACCCAGCTAGTTTGTCGAGGAAGTTCATAGTGGATTGGCACACAACCTAATCAACGGCATTCGTACGGAAGAGATGGGCAGACAACATCGAAACTTAACGCGTCGGATTTAGGGGCGCAAATAAACCCAAGAACGCCACCACCACCAAGGACGAGGCAATTGATGGGTGCGAGCGAGGTGTGAAACGCGATTGGGCGAATAAAGCAAAAGTTTAAACGCGTTGGGTACATGTGCAGCTGATCTGCATTCTATACCTGTTCAACCCCTTGTTGCCTACCTTATTTCAGACCAATTTAGACCTTATTGATACCCCCCACCCCCGTGCCCTTATAAATCTCAAAGTTCATCCTCGGTCTCATCATAAGGGAGACACGGACAAAAAATGTTGCCTTATTGTGACGGCTGTGTGCGGCCTGATGGACCTGAGAACTCAATTCCTCTATACACAATAATACGGGTATAAAACCGTATTGTTGAAGCAGATGTGGCATTCTGATCTCGGGAGTTTTGACGATTTTAACCAGCGGGGCTTCCTTTTGCGAGGGCGACCACCATCGTCGCTTGCAGCATCCCGGTCGGTGCAGCAGGCTTTCGTTGTGTTTTGGGATGCTTTTGCCGCCGGTGGCGTGCGGGCCCCCCCGACGCGCCGCTCGCCTGCTCCCCCCGCCGAGGTGTGCGCTCCTCACCCGGGCAGCGCCTCTAGGCCGAACGGGGTCCCACGATATGTTACACCGGGCCGCCCCCCTTTTTTTAATTTCACAGGTGAATCCAATCGCCCTCGTTGCTTCGCTCTGTAACTTGCTTGGCTCTGGGCGGGTTCCCCCAGGCTCCTCTTCGCTCGTCCGAGTGAGCGAATGGTGTGGTGTATGGTAAACATCTGAACTGGGGGGGGGGGGATACAAAGGCGGCCGGGCGTGGTGCTGGTCACACTAAAGCACACGGCCACACGCACCGCTTACAAAGTAACATTCCACACAGATGTATACAAATTAGCAATTCGGGACATCCACCGTGCCCAGGCCGGGTTGCGAATCGCCACGAAGTGACGGGTGACGCCACTACAGTACCTGTGCCAGGCTCGGTGCACCGAGGCCGCATGCATTTAATGAGGGCTCGCTGATAAGTCACGGGTCAAACCCAGGTGGCATGCGTTGACCGACTAAGATGACTTTCCAGAGGCTCAACCTGCACTCCCTCATTCGCCAGATTGCTGCGTTTTTTCCGCCAGGCTCGTTGTTGTGAGCGTCGCTCCTCCGGTTTTTGTTTTGCTCGAGGGCGACTTGCCTCCCGACTGCCCAGTGAGCGTCCTTCATGAACATCCTCCAAAAGAGGCTGATCTTGACACCGCCGGTACCAGTCGTCGGCAGGTCCACTCGGCTTATTCATTTTTTTTGTAACCGCATAAAGTCCAATCTCTTTTTTTTGTTTTAGCCCCCCTCTATCCGGCCAAACAAAAGTTGCTTGGGCACGCGGTGGCTGGGCCATGGAGTGGCTTTCAAGACCAGAAAAACGCAGCCACTCGTGCCGGAGTGGGTGGTGGGGGGGCCTTTATTGATGGGACTGTGTCCAGATATTTCAAATAATCTGTGAGCTCGCACAATCCAGCCCGGTTAATCCCGGGGGGGGGGGGCCTTTATTGATGGGACTGTGTCCAGATCTTTCAAATAATCTGTGAGCTCGCAAAATCCAGCCCGGTTAATCCCCGGGGGGGGGGGGGGGGGGCCTTTATTGATGGGACTGTGTCCAGATCTTTCAAATAATCTGTGAGCTCGCACAATCCAGCCCGGTTAATCCCACAATGGATCGTGGGCAGGCCAGCCTGGAACAACAATTAAAAACCGGCGCAGATGTTCCACCAGGGTAGTGGTTCTTCACCTGGGGTGCACGCAACCCCTTTGCTGGGGGTGCAAGACATGGCCAGATTTATTTAGGTGAATAATCTAAACACATTATGCACGGCCACGTAAGTAGAACTAATTTGTTTCATGAAACCGATGTATTTGTTTACATTATAACTTTTTTTTTTACGACTGAAAACCAAAGAGATGTAAGGTTGCAGTTAATATTCTATGGTTCTTTCGGTGAAGTTACGTAGATAGAAAAAATAATGATAAAATAAAAATTAAGTGAATAAAAAATAATAAAAATATCACGTTTCGATCGCAACACAAGCAATCGTCTCCCGATGACGATTGTTTGTGTTGCGATCGAAACGTGATATTTGTATTATTTTTTTATTCACTTTATTTGTATTATTTTATTCTTATTATATTTTTTTCTATCTTCGTGACCTTACCGAAATAACCATAGAATATGAATTCCTGCAGTCACAAAAGTTTTCAGCTACAGTAACGGTTAAGAACCACCACTGCTCCAGAGGGATTCAGGTTTTGCAAGCATAAAGGGAGGGGATAACTGTGGCTGAGAAGACCTGGAGTTTCTGTACGGAGCTCCACACAGCGTTATGCAGCTGATTAAAAGATAACACCGCTCATAAGCACCACTGCCCAGGTATGGGAAGTTGAGTGGGTGGAGTGTTTGATAACACAAACTACCTCATGCTGATGTTTTGTTTTTGTATAATTGGTGTTTGCATGTTCTCCCCGTGGTTGCGTGGATTTTTTCTCCGGGTCCTCCGGTTTTTCCCTCCACATTTAGAAACATGGTTTGAGAGTATTTAGCTGCTCTAAGTTTTCACATGATAAGCCACTTCGTTGCGCTATCATGTGGCCAGGTCGCTTCTGAAAAAGAGCTATATAGCTCAGTGGGCCTTAACTGGTAAAATACAAAGTTAAATTTTTTTATAGTTTATATTAAGAAGCTTAGTTTTGGTGCCGTTCCAATCTTCATAGGTGCTGCTCGTTAACTGCACTTGCCTCAACAATCCGTGTGGGCTACACAGGGACTTTTGTCAATTCATACTGTTAAGATATAAACAATTTAATGGTGAATGTATACCTTCTTGAATATTAATTGTATGCACCATCGTACAGAAAATGTCCTGTCGACCATTCCATGATTTGTAGCCACTCGGGATGGCTGTGCGAAGTGTTCCCTACCACACTTAGTTTTCATTGATATTGTAAAAACAGCCACCACCAAAACAGCCTTGTGGGCAAATGAATGCATCGTGTGCAAGAGTGGATTTACAGTACTGTATATGTTGAGCTGAGGCATGGAAATGGCACCAATCCTTAGCAGATGCTGAGTGGCCTTATGTCAGGCATGGATACAGGGTAGGTTTTACAGCCAGCGCAAGTTCATAGATAAGATAACATTTAGCAAGTAACTTGGTACTATGGCCTAAGTTGACAACATTTACTCATTCTATAAAAGAGTTGTATTCTTATGGAAAGTGGTGGTAAAACAAATTCAGAACCGGCTGTTTGGAAGACAAAAAAATACAAGTGGGAGTTTTTTCTTTTGTAGTTTTACTATCGTAACACTTTGGTATATGATAAATAATGCTGCATAAAGTTGCACTTAATTAAACATGCAACATACATTACCTGGTTAATAAACTGAAATACAAAAGGATGTATGCTCAAGCACTACCAAAATACACAACTACACCTGCTACAGTTAGACTTTTTACCCAAAACACACGGACATATTGACCCCGAAGTCACCCATGTCTTGGACATGACAACATACAGCACGTCCACACATGTTGCACAAGGATGTGTTGCAAGCATAATGATCCTCCAGCAATTATGCCCACAAGTGACTTTGGTCTGCAGTTTAAAGCAATGTTTTGCACTGGTATAGCTGGATGCAATAACATGTTTTTGTATTATCTTGTATGCATTGTGACGCCCCATTTATGCTCCACTAAGGTCACAAGATTTCACAAAACTGAAGGCGGCATTGAAAAAATAAATTGCATCTGGCTTTGGCTACCAATTCACTGCACATTAGTGGTAACCGTGTCTTGAATGGGATGTATGACATAATTTGTACCATTACACAAGCAATTTTCATCAAATGCAGTTCAAACTGCAAAAAATGTAACATGTCCTGTGTGCCCTGTGTCTTGTATTTTGTATGAACAAGCACAAATCAAACAGCTCCTCACCATCATTAACACTGCCTGATACCAGTAGACTAAGAGCTTGAGTACAACAGCACAGGCCTAATTTTTGTGGGTTTTGGACACATGCTATTTTAGTTCACCTATATTTTTGAAACCGCATACAATCCTAATGATCCTGGAAGCAATCTTCTCAAATGAGTGTACACCAGTGAAAAGTTGATGTGTATCTATGAATATGTAGTGTTCATTAAGTGGTCTGCTGCTCCAGTTCTTCATAAATGGCATCTCAAACATTGACGACCCATAAAATGCAGTAATGGACATCTAGAATTAGCAGCTTTCCACATTGGCCCCTGTGCTGGTGAACTTTGTGGGCAAAGGCCCTTCACACCACAGGAGGGAAAGGAAGGTGACTTTGATTGGAGGGTTTGGTATAACATGAACAACTTTCAATTGTAAATCAGTCTCTGTTATGAAATTGTTAAGGGCTATAAACTAAATATATTATCACACATTTACTCAGGAAAGCCTCACAGAGTCTTAAGACTTTTAAAGGAGGATCCTACCAAAGTTTTTGCAGTCGGGGGCAATGTTGCTATGTGTAATCCAAATTGAGGAATTTTCAGGTACTCTCTGAGCATTGGGATATATGGCCAATTCAGTACTGTGTTTTTTAGTTATGGGGTTAAAACCATACATAACAGGGGAATAACTCCACAGGAATCCATTCCCATAATGCTGTGTTACCAATGTGCCACCCTGCCATCCAAATATTAGCCTACTATCCTTTTTCCGTTATAATACAGTGACAGTGTTAACGTTGTGAGGTTGTGGGTTTTATTTGTGCTTACACACCATCCACTACTAAGAGAGGTCTCTTTTTTCACCATGTTGCGCTTGTGTTCACAGCTGCCACCTTACCGCAGTAAATATTTGTGAGGTAACATCATCTTTCTTTCCAGTTCTGCCTGCACATTGAAATGTGCCAAATTGATAATGAACTTAAAAATGCAGATTGCAATGGTATGTTTCAATATACTTGTTGAAAAGCACAACTAAGATGACTAAACAATATCAAGGAAACACTGGAATTGAGTTTGCAGCAGACAGCTGAAACCCACGTTTCAGTGCACATGCACACTGGCAGTCGGTTGTGCTAAGTAGCACCCTGAACACAGGCAATGCTTTGTTCATGTTTGGCACTACGCAGGCTACTGTATACCCTCACTAGTCACTCTTACACATTTAAACATAACTAAAAGGAACACATTTGCACACTACAAAAAAGTTAACGAAATATTCAAGTTTCAACTTGATAAAAGTAAAAAATATATACCTGTATGTAACAAAAAAGCACTGCTTCTATTTGAAGGTTAAAACGTGTCATTGAACCCTGTTCGAGACTACACATATTGTCCATAAAATGTTAAACGTCTTTTTAAAAATTCAAACCCTAGGTCTCATAATAAACACCTTGCAACAACCGCTTTAGTTGACCTTAAAGATTATTCAACCCATAGCTTTTACATGCATTTTCTCCTTTTATTATTTTGGCATTGACTGGGTGTTCTCCTCGGCACAGTCGGAAGAAGTAAACTGGTTTTTTCCATCGTGGTTACTTTTGCCATCATTTTTGTCCCTTCCGGCCGTCTCTTCGCATGCCTGTGGGTCACCCAGCAGCATCCCTTCCAGTCCGGGGGGTGGCTTGATGTCGGGAGTCTCGGCGTTGTGATCGGCGAGCGGCTCGGTGTTCGCTTCGGCATTCGGCTCGGGCGTGTGACACTGGCACACGTGGCGTGCCGCCTGCGTGGCTCGCGAGAAGGTTTTGTTGCAGATGCCGCAGCTATACGGCTTCCCCGTGTGGATGTACATGTGCTCCTTGCAGTGGCTTTTCTGTGTGAAGCGGCGTCCGCACACGTTGCAGGCGAACCTGCGTGTGCGACCCACTCGTCGATAGCCCTCGAACATGGCTCCATCTGTGCCATCGCTGTCTCCCTCGCCCTCACCTGCAAAACGGTGTCAAGAGTCAGTTTCCTGCTTTAAAGTATAAATTCCTCCATGACTTAACGTTAACAGGGTGGCAGATTACATATTACAGACAAGCACACATTGCAGCCAAAGTTTCGAAGTGCGAAAAACTTACCAATGAAGAGATTTACATTATTTTTAGAGCCATTAAGAGCAATTCTTTTTATACTGGTTAAAGACTGTGCATTCTACCTTCTGTATCTTCTCCAAGATCAAACTCCCCGTCCCCTGCCTCCTCGTCCTCGCCCCCCCCGGGCGTTGGTGGGCTGTCGACTGCCCCTTCCGCGCCGCCTGGCGTCCCGGCCTCTCTGTCCGGCTGCCCGGGTGAGGCTTGGTGACGACCCTCGCACGCCGCTACCCCCGGGGAACACAAAGCCCTGGAACCTTCGTGGTAGCTGCCGTCCCCGTCGATCAGGACTTCGGTTTCCACGGCCTCCTGCTCCATCATCACCTCCTCCTCCGGACTCCCCTACCAGCAGGGTGCATCACCGCATATTACATGTATTACTTTGGATACTGGTAATGCTACAATTTGTTCTTTTCCTAAATGTCCTCAGCAATTGTTACATTTTCGTTCAAAGTCCATCTGGACACCAATTCTCTGAGATAAGTGAACACGAGGTATTATCTATACAGGAACGATGGCTACACGCTCACCTGCTGAAGTCGACGCAGGCTTCCTCGGCCCCTGCCTCTGCTCCGACCCCTGCCACCCACAGCAGACTGTGGATAGGGAACGCCAGTGTGCATGTACAAATGCTCCCGTAGGCTGCTGCGCAAGCTAAAGCGCCGTCCGCAGATGTGACAAACATAGCAGCGTGGAAATGTTGTACTGGTGCCACTTCCAATTAAGCAGGCATTGCCACCTCCACTGGTTCCCACACTCCCACGTCTGGCAGAGGCTGGCCGAGGTGATATCACCACCAGCTGGCCTTCCACCTGACCATCCAGTGATGGCAGTGAATGGCTTCTCTGTTCATCTCCTGTTGAGTCCTGGGCCAGGATGCCTGGTGAGTAAGGAAGACATGAAGGCTGGGCAGACTGAGTAGGCTGTTGCAGTGTTGACTGAAGGGGCAGCTGTAAAGCAAGGTGGGTCTGCCCTTGTGTCACTGATACTGACATTGGGATAGGGCCTTCTATCACATTTTGCTCCTGCTCTGACCGAGGCGGAGGCTGTGACTGAGACTGTGGCTGAGATTGCAATGGTGGCTGCTGCTGTGGCTGTGGCTGGGACTGGGGTGGAGGTCCAGAGTGGGATGACAGCCCTGCTGCCATCATATGAACTTTCTGTTCTTGTACGGTGACACAGGCCTGGCTGCGAGCCAACTGTATGCCGTAAAGAGATGAGGGCCACGGGAAATAAGGGTCTGGGCGAGGAATGGCACCATGAGTAGCCAGGCTGGCCTCCTGCAGAAGTGGGTAAGCGTGCAGGAACTTAAGACCCTGCTCAAGCCGTACTGGGTCAATCATTTGAGGGATGATCTTGCCAGTGTACATAAGGTGTAGCAAGTAACTAAAGATGTCTGGTTGAATGTCCGCAGGCTTCAACTTGACACAGTCACTGCAAAAATATGATCACACAGGTTCATGTTTTAAAACCTAAACTTTGAATTCATATAATATTGATGTCTTACAAGTAAAATATTTTTTATACAGATATATATGCTTGTAGAACACACGGAAGTATAACAATACATATCATAAGACGAAACTTCACCATCACTTTGAGTAATGATTATCAAAACTGCCGATTGTGTCACTTGTAATGGGATAAGAAGGCAGCTTAGTCTCTTGGGGTAAAAATTAAGGAGAAATAAAGGACTGAACCCAAGTAGTGTGGCAGGTACCTACCTGGTCTGGTGTATGAAAAGCATCTTGAAGTAGTTGGAGAAGGCAGCGAGCACAGCCTTATGTGCCTTAAAGTACACGTCACCGATGGCTACAGTGCAGTCGCACAGGAAGCCGAACTCCCTCTGTGAGTTGAGCTGCTGCAGCAGGAACAGGCCGTGGTTGGCAATGTCCATGCTGCCCGTTGTGCCTCGCCGGCAACACCATCCACATGTACGTCACTGTGTCCAACACCACCACCACCACATGCAAGGCCACTCAATGATCTATTCACATGGTTTACAGAGAGCTTATTAAGCTGAAATTGTTTTACTTTTCATCCATCTGTACGGCAGGGACTATGTTTTAAAATAACGGAAGTGGAGTGAGGCAGTCTGTACTCCTGTAACTTTGGGTTTTGTGCAAATTGTTCAGACATGGACAGTGGTAACCGTGGAGGTACGTATGAAAAACAGCTGTGTATAACTTCATCATCTAATACACACAGTGTTTATTCACTCATTGGCCAGCTGAAGGCATTGGTTGCTTCTACATTGTTCATTTTGTGAGTGCAATGTAAAAAAAACCCTACAACTGCCTTATATAAAATGTAGGCATCACGAAGTAGTTACTGAACCATGTGTGCACCCAAGAGCCAATCCGTGGCCACAAGGGGCTGCAGGAAGACGTTCAGGGTCACAGCCAGGCTGGAATGTGTTTCCCCAGACCTGGGGTGGCACACTTGCTTCATGAGCCGAGTCAGCCAGTCTAGTGTATGAATGCCACTGGCTCCTTGGTTAGTGCACAGCATACAGACCTTCATCATGGACCACTAAATCCTATGGCCAACGATTGTCCGCATGTTCTCTGATTAGCACGGTAGGTTACGTACGGTGCGAAAGAAGTTCAACATACATAGAGGCAACATTTTAGAGAGGGCTTACACATAAGCAGTTGTGGTCGGTCACCTTCTGTAGGCTACATGCGAATAGCACTAACAGGAAACTATTCACCACCCTGACCCACGTATATATTTTTTATAAGTGCATTAAGAAATGTGGGTTATACATTGAGAAACACATCCTGAATAATTTATAAAAATTACAGTATTCCATTAAACACGTCAAGGCAGCCCTCTGATCTAGCGCTCTGCCACCCAATTCGATGACTGCTCTGCCGACAGGTATGAATTAAATTATGTCAACATTGTATGTTGAACATAAGGCTGGTCACATTCTGCATCTAAATTGTGTGCGATGTACTGTTGGAAATGTTCCCAGATATTTTGTGCGAACTGGATCTTGATGCAGCATTCATTGCCAGTGCCTGACCAGCTGCTGCGATGAGTCATGCCATGGTGTAACCTCAATAAGTTGAAAAGCAATGCAGTGGATCATATTGCATAATACTGTGAGACTATCATGCAGGGAGATGTGTATTTCAGGCATTTATTTAGTTTAATTTCCAACTTGTTACAGTTGTCTAATTGCAACATTTGAAGTCTCAAAATACCATTTAATAGAGCTAATATTGCTGCTATAATGCATTTTAAATGTACTTGGTCTTGGCAAATTATAATCAAATGAGACATTGACCTCTCTATAAACGTCAATCCTCATTTTTTTGTTTGTCAATATCAATACACGCAAATACAGCGGTCCCTTATTAATTGGTTCAACGAAACCCATCGTTAATTTAAATTATTGCTAATCGAATGAGTGGGAATACATGTTAAAGGCTTAATTTGTTCCAAGATGATTGGAAGTTTACCCTTTTCACCCTAAAACATAGTTTATATTTAAATATGTAATTTGAATAAATAAACGTGAAATAACATATTAAAGCATTAATAGACACATGGATAAATAATGAATACATTGAAAAGCTAGCCAGTTGCTCTCAAAATACTCATAAAAGGGTTTTTCTTATTGTCTGAGGTCTGCTGAGTCCACTCCGATTGGCCGAAATTGGCGGCCGCGTGATATCGTAAACTTTGATTAATCGAAAAAATCGTTAATAGAAACAACGGGACAGTATTGGAGGCGGATCGTTAATTGAAATATCGTTAATTGAAATATCGTAAATCGATGGCATCGTAACCACTGTATATTCTAAAACATGCAAGCGATAGTCTTACAATTCAACTGAAATATAAATGAGTAAATATTTTGTATTTGCATATTTTAATATAAACACAACATAATCGTTCCAGTAAATTATAACTGTCCTCACATTTTAAAAAGTAAAACCCTTGATTGACAACATTGGCTGTATGATTCCTGACAGCAATGTAATCAAGGAGCCCAGTTGTGAAGCTTAGCTGAAACATAATTGTTTAAATGACAACACACATAGCAGCTTAACTAATTAAATGATTGTGAAAATTTTGGTAAAAACTTGAAAGTGATACACTAAATGACATTCGTATTCGAGACCGACATCTGTACCATCGCAGGACAGCCATTAAATAGAGCCTAATAGCATAAATAAACATCTCTATAACCTACATGCTTAATCCTAGCCCTAACCAGTGTCATAACCTTGACCAATTGTCTAGCCTTAATCCTTAATTCTAACTACAATCCTAGTCATAACTACACCAAATCATGCACAGTCAACATCAAAATGTGTGCCCTTGTAAACTATTAATCGAAGTCTTGACCATATCCTAAACCTATCCTCATCGCTAAAATAATGACTTGAGCGTTAACTCTTAATGCAATCCATAGTCATACCTGAACCCTTTAACTTTACCCCTATCATAAACTCCTTAGCATAATTCATTCCGAGCCCTAACCAAGCCCTAACTTTAAACCTAAACCCTAACATACACACATTATTCCAGCCCTGTGCCCTAATCATCATCATCAGCCATGATCAATCCACTGCTGGATGAAAACCTTCCCTGACTGTCACCATCTCTCACAGTTATGCGATGTAACAATCCATCTAGAATCTGCGCATTAACTGGTTGTGTCGCTCCATCTCTGTGGCGGATATCCTCTTGGGCATGTCATTAATCTTGACCATTTGACCTTCACACTTCCCAGTGATGTGTGCTGTACATGCCCGCTGTCCTTAACAGTCAAAATGATGGCTCTCTAACTTGCATGCCCTCTGATCCATGTGTTCCTCGTCATGTCTCAGTATAATTCACATCGTGCACCCATTCGTGTTTATTTGTAACCTTTTCAGTTTTCGTTCCATTTTCTTTGGAAATTACCACGCTTCGTGGCCATGTCATACCAGGGTAAAACATGTAAAGCGCTCTCAATCCACCGCTGGATAGAGGCCTTCCCATACTTTTCAGAGGAACAGGTAATATACACTGATCAAAACTATCCTTTACAAACAAACAAAGAATACCTTAAGTCTCAACCCCACCCCCGCACTCACCCTTAGCCCCAACCCTGAGCCATCCATGACCCATCCCTGCCAATGGACAACAAAGAAACGCGTGCCAATGCTATCTATCGAGGGCTCTGTTGAGGTCAGCAAATGAACGTATCTCGGCTGCCTTCCCCGGGCTCTTTTGCTTGGCCCCGCAACCTCAACGCAAAAAAAAAACACCCAACCCCCCAAAAAGGCAGCCAAGCCCCCCCTTTTTTTTGTTAAGTTGACGCCCGTAACCGGAACCCTCGCAGAAAAACCCCGGGAAACCAAACAAAAAGGCTCCCAAAACCACCGTGGTGGTGGAGGAGGAGGAGGAGGAACGCCATGTTCCATCGGGCCCACGCGGTCACACGGGCCGGGTCGGAAGCGCCGCGCGTTGCCGAGAGGCAGGGGCGCACTTAATTGGCAATTAACGTCGAGGCAGCCAACTAATTAACGCGAGCGGCCCAAAGACGCCGCTAAATCCACAACGCCGGGAAAAAGGAGGTACCGCAGGACGGCGGGGTGGGTGTAACATGTCGGGGACGCAGAGGCACACGGCGACACATTCACTGGGAGAGACACGGGGGGGTGGGGGTGACGAAGACGGGGGATGTCGACACTGTGTCACAGAGACGCTGGGCTCTGTCTCCACTGGGTCAGTGAGACAGGGTCACTCTGTCTCCACTGGGTCAGTGAGACAGGGTCGGGACAGGGTCACTCTGTCTCCACTGGGTCAGTGAGACAGGGTCACTCTTGTCTCCACTGGGTCAGTGAGACAGGGTCGGGACAGGGACACTCTGTCTCCACTGGGTCAGTGAGACAGGGACACTGTCTCCACTGGGTCAGTGAGACGGGGACACTCTTGTCTCCACTGGGTCAGTGTGACAGGGTCGGGACCGGGACACTGTCTCCACTGGGTTCAGCGAGACAGGGACACTGTGTCTCCACTGGGTCAGTGAGACAGGGACACTGTCTCCACTGGGTCAGTGAGACAGGGACACTGTCTCCACTGGGTCAGTGAGACAGGGACACTCTGTCTCCACTGGGTCAATGAGACAGGGACACTGTGTCTCCACTGGGTCAGTGAGACAGGGTCACTCTGTCTCCACTGGGTCAGTGAGACAGGGTCGGGACAGGGACACTGTCTCCACTGGGTCAGTGAGACAGGGACACTCTGTCTCCACTGGGTCAATGAGACAGGGACACTGTGTCTCCACTGGGTCAGTGAGACAGGGACACTGTCTCCACTGGGTCAGTGAGACAGGGACACTGTCTCCACTGGGTCAGTGAGACAGGGACACTCTGTCTCCACTGGGTCAATGAGACAGGGACACTGTGTCTCCACTGGGTCAGTGAGACAGGGTCACTCTGTCTCCACTGGGTCAGTGAGACAGGGTCGGGACAGGGACACTGTCTCCACTGGGTCAGTGAGACAGGGACACTGTCTCCACTGGATCAGTGAGACAGGGACACTCTGTCTCCACTGGGTCAGTGAGACAGGGACACTGTCTCCACTGGGTCAGTGAGACAGGGACACTGTCTCCACTGGGTCAGTGAGACAGGGACACTGTCTCCACTGGGTCAGTGAGACAGGGACACTCTGTCTCCACTGGGTCAATGAGACAGGGACATTGTGTCTCCACTGGGTCAGTGAGACAGGGTCACTCTGTCTCCACTGGGTCAGTGAGACAGGGTCGGGACAGGGACACTGTCTCCACTGGGTCAGTGAGACAGGGACACTGTCTCCACTGGGTCAGTGAGACAGGGACACTGTCTCCACTGGGTCAGTGAGACAGTGCAGTACTCCCGTGATGTAGATCACTATGCAGTACTCCCGTGATGTAGATCACTATGCAGTACACCCGTGATGTAGAATACAATGCAGTACACCCGTGATTTATAACACAATGCAGTACACCCGTGATGTAGAGCACAATGCAATACACCCGTGATGTAGATCACAATGCAGTACACCCGTGATGTAGAGTACAATGCAGTACACACGTGATGTAGGGCACAATGCAGTACACACGTGATTTATAACAATGCAGTACACCCGTGATGTAGATCACAATGCAGTACACCCGTGATTTATAACACAATGCAGTACACCCGTGATGTAGATCACAATGCAGTACACCCGTGATGTAGAGTACAATGCAGTACACCCGTGATGTAGAGTACAATGCAGTCACACACGTGATGTAGAATACAATGCAGTACACCCGTGATTTATAACACAATGCAGTACACCCGTGATGTAGATCACAATGCAGTACACCCGTGATGTAGAGTACAATGCAGTACACCCGTGATGTAGAGTACAATGCAGTACACCCGTGATGTAGAGTACAATGCAGTACACCCGTGATGTAGATCACAATGCAGTCACACACGTGATTTCTAGCACAATGCAATGCGCACACACTACACGGGGACACACTTACTGCACGCCCGCCCGCCCAGGGGGGGGTGTGGATCTCGCGAGCCGCACGATCGCGATCCTCCTCCTCGTCCTCCTCCTCGTCGTCCTCCTCCTCGTCACCACCACCGCCGCCGACTCCGATCGCGATCCGATTGCGACCCCGGCGGGGTAAGCGGTGGGGGGGTGTCCGAGGCGGGGATCCGAGGGCGACCCGACGAGGGTCCCCGTTCGATGTCCGGACTGGGGTCCGAATGGGGGGGGGTGGAGGGGGTCCGAATGTGGGGGGGGGGGGGTCCGATAATGGGGGGGGGGGGTCCAAACGGCGGTCCGCCCTCCGCGAGGCTGCGTCACTGACCGGGCCCCGTGTCGGGAGGCCGCGGGTCCCTGGGATGGATGAAGGCTGCGGCCCTGCGTCTCCCCCCCACCACCCCCACTACCACCCACTACCACCACCCCCTACCACCCCCACTACCACCACCACTACCACCACCCCTCCCGTGCTCCCCCGCTCCTCCTCCCCCACCACCCCTCGCGCTCTCTCTCTCACGTAGCCGTGCGACGGGGCAGCAAGGCGCCGCCGGGCATGGAGTTGTGCAGGCAGGCAGCAATGCAAGCAATTCCAGGCGGGTTAGAGGAGGAGGAGGAGGATGAAGGGGGTTGGTTATTGAGTGAGCAGCGGATATGGAAGTGTGGCGACCGTGGGGGTGGGGTGGGCAGGAGGGATGGTGGTGGTGGTGCTGCTGGGGTTACTGAAGGAAGCGGATATGTTTGTGTGCAGCAGTGGCTGAGGGTGCAGAGGCGAATTGGGGTCCAGAAGGGGGTAGCTAGGTAGGTAAGGGGTGGGGTGTGTGTGGAGCAGAAGGGGAACACGAGGCGACATTCGCGGTGGACGATGTATACGTAGTAGGAGGGATGATTGGTCGTGCGGTTATGGTTTGGATGGGTTCAGGGGGGTGAAGACACACGGGGGGCATGAAGGGGGTGGCTAGTGGGGGGTTCGGGCTCCGTCGTAGCGGGCAGGGCTTGCAGGGCTGAGAGGGAATTTGAGCGATGGAGCCCGACGTGTCACGCCGTGCAGCGATGACTTTCTTCCTCCCATTATCGACTGCACTGCAGTAACAACAAAAAAATGTGTGTTGCTGCTGCCGATGCTCTTGTGACAGTTACCACCGAGCTAAGAGAACGCAGACCCCCATCACGTTATGATGGCGAGTCAATTTGGCTTTCTCTGTATCACCAATTGACCACTTCATGTTTTGCATAAAAATGCAATTGTGCACTCGATAAATTGCCGTCCCGTGTCACCGCATTTCTAAATATTTCCAGTTTCCCTAAGTTTAGAGTGCTGTATATACAGCTACTATTTGAATTCACACCGCGTCTAAATGTTACACGCTGTGCAGAGACGATGGAAATTGCTATTATATACAGTGAGGGAAAACATTATTTGATCCTCTGCTGATTTTGTACGTTTGCCCACTGACAAAGAAATGATCAGTCTATAATTTTAATGGTAGGTTTGTTTGAACAGTGAGAGACAGAATAATAAAAAAAATCCGGAAAAACGCATGTCAAAAATTGTACAAATTGATTTGCATTTTAATGTGGGAAATAAGTATTTGACCCCCTCTCAATCAGAAAGATTTCTGGCTCCCAGGTGCATTTTATACAGGTAACGAGCTGAGATTAGGAGCACACTCTTATAGGGAGTGCTCCTAATCTCAACTTGTTACCTGTATAAAAGACACCTGTCCACAAGCAATCAATCAAATTCCAAACTCTCCACCATGGCCAAGACCAAAGAGCTATCCAAGGATGTCAGGGACAAGATTGTAGACCTACACAAGGCTGGAATGGGCTACAAGACCATTGCCAAGCAGCTTGGTGAGAAGGTGACAACAGTTGGTGCGATTATTCGCAAATGGAAGAAACACAAAAGAATTGTCAATCTCCCTCGGCCTGGGGCTCCATGCAAGTACTCACCTCGTGGAGTTGCAATGATCATGAGAACGGTGAGGAATCAGCCCAGGACTACACGGGAGTATCTTGTCAATGATCTCAAGGTAGCTGGGACCATAGTTACCAAGAAAACAATTGGTAACACACTACACCGTGAAGGACTGAAATCCTCTAGCGCCCGCAAGGTTCCCCTGCTCAGGAAAGCACATATTCATGCCCGTCTGAAGTTTGCCAATGAACATCTGAATGATTCAGAGGACAACTGGGTGAAAGTGTTGTGGTCAGATGAGACCAAAATGGAGCTCTTTGGCATCAACTCAATTTGCCGTGTTTGGAGGAGGAGGAATGCTGCCTATGACCCCAAGAACACCATCCCCACCGTCAAACATGGAGGTGGAAACGTTATGCTTTGGGGGTGTTTTTCTGCAAAGGGAACAGGACAACTGCACCGCGGACGGGGCCATGTACCGTCAAATCTTGGGTGAGAACCTCCTTCCTTTAGCCAGGGCATTGAAAATGGGTCGTGGATGGGTATTCCAGCATGACAATGAACCAAAACACACGGCCAAGGCAACAAAGGAGTGGCTCAAGAAGAAGCACATTAAGGTCCTGGAGTGGCCTAGCCAGTCTCCAGACCTTAATCCCATAGAAAATCTGTGGAGGGAGCTGAAGGTTCGAGTTGCCAAACGTCAGCCTCGAAACCTTAATGACTTGGAGAAGATCTGCAAAGAGGAGTGGGACAAAATCCCTCCTGAGATGTGTGCAAACCTGGTGGCCAACTACAAGAAACGTCTGACCTCTGTGATTGCCAACAAGGGTTTTGCCACCAAGTACTAAGTCAGGTTTTGCAGAGGGGTCAAGTACTTATTTCCCTCATTAAAATGCAAATCAATTTATAACATTTTTGACATGCGTTTTTCTGGATTTTGTTGTTATTCTGTCTCTCACTGTTCAAATAAACCTACCATTAAAATTATAGACTGATCATTTATTTGTCAGTGGGCAAACGTACAAAATCAGCAGGGGATCAAATACTGTTTTCCCTCACTGTAGAGGCAGTCCCCAATAGGTAGAGGGGGAGAAGGGAAGAAGTCAGTAAATTTAACACAAAGTAACTGATGCAACAAACCACCGTACAAACAACTAAGCATTAGGACATTTGGTTTGTTGCATAAACATCTGAAGTGTTTTTTTTCTCTCTCCATAATAACTTCCCCCCCCCCCCAATTTATAAGGCTTTTAATAACAAACGAAGATACATTTAACCGATAGGAGTTTAATGCAACTGGTTGCATACCCTTTGAGATGTTATATTGTGGGAATTATCAGCATAAAAAACAAGCATTACCCTGAAATGGCAAGCCTAAATTTAATCACTTGAAGCCATCTGGCGATATTACCATCTACACTGTGGTTTACCCTCAATTTTAAGTTTACCTCCGATTGTATATATGGCCTGCGTGACCTCTTGAGGTCCAGTGGTATTATGGCGATGTAACCGAGCCCAGAGTCACCCTTCTTGCTGTGCCAATTACTCTAAGTGGTGGCTCTTCTCGTGCACCTTATATTACAGCCACTGTCATTCAAGATAATCCCTCTTCCGTCTGAGAATCCCACTTCTACAAACACTGAACCTTTTGTTGATGGCAATTTGTGTGTGTGTGTGTATATAGAGTTTGTTGCTTAATAGACGTGTGAATGCCAGGCAACAAGTTGGTGTGCATTGCGTTGGTGTTTTAGAAACTTGAGGTTGATTTTTTTCTTCCAATTCAGTAGTTACTCAGTGTACAACATGCATGTGTGTCATTGTAAACCAACAAAGCCACCCTGTCAAGTACAATCATTGGAGGCTGAGGCCTCGAGTAATACATTTGCTTTGGAGCACAGAACGTGTGAAAGATAAATTAATGCTTATCAAATGTTTTTTTGGGGCAGTGCTCTCCCGAATTTTCCATGTAAGCTCGTTGGAGTAGGGACCCGCTGTATCATGTTTGTTTTTGTTGCAAAGATTGCTGTAGATTCATTTCAAATTTAATATAATTGCGAAGAGCGTTGTCATTTAAAAAACACTATACAATAGTCGTGTTGTTGAAGTGCTTGAACGTCTGACATCTGCAGCACGAGGCACTTTGGATATTAAGGTCGACTGGTCATGTGTTTATCACAAAAGAAAGCAATGCCTGGTTAGGTCATATAAGGTCTGTAGATTCATATCTCGGTTCAATACAAAAACAAATGTTTTTTTTACCAGATATTCCTAGTGACAAGACTGTGATTGTCGTCCTAGATGTGTAGTACGACTGGGTATATGGTTGCATGGGAACGTGAGGGACCCTCCAGTGTCATCATTGCATCCCAGGCCTGAAGGTACTTAATGTCCATTGTTTGGCATTTACTGCTTTGTGAGAATCATTTCGTTGTAAAATCAGCCAGCAAGTGGCGAGGTGAGTGACAGCGATCGCGAAGTGCTCAACACACGCGAGCATCTGGCCTCCTGTTTTGATGCATTGTGAGCAACATGCAGCAGCACATCGCTTGCCCCGTCTCCAACATCTCCCCGCGTGTTCACCAAATCTCACCGCGCTCTGACATGCGCACGTTGCCCTATCTCCTTGAATCAAACCTGCACGTTTGATTTTAACAGCACAAAATTGCGTGCACTTCCTACGTACGTGGCGCAATGCACGGGTTAACAATTATTAACGCTCGCTGCATGCAACTCGGGATGGCGGATTTCTCCCCCCGTGTTGCCGAGTGCGGCTTTGATTCACGGTGTAGCTTGACGCACGCACGTGCATCACGTCCAGGGAGACACGGATGCTCCGTGTATGTGTGGCTTTAAGGCTGCCTCGCTCTATACGGCGATGTCCTTTTCGAATGGTGGCTATGAACCCAGCAGCGGCTGAGCTCAATTCACAGCTTATGTGGCTAACGCTAGTGGAGAGTATTGTAAGACATGTAGAATGTCTGGGCTCCCATTCTTCATCAGCACACACCGACGAGCGTGAAGTATGGTCAAACAACCACCATGACCGGAAAGGTGTAGTGGGAAGAGGCCTTCACTCAGCAGTGGATGGAAAGAGGGCTGTACATTACATTTTAATGCAACCACTTTCAACAAAGCATCTCTCGAGGAGGATAATAATCAGCATCTGGAGGAATGGTTTTACCTAGCTTTACGTGGAAATGTTTACGTAAACC